GCTGAACCACCTTTGTAACTCGAACTTGTCAGGGAGGGGTCATTACTATTTCTCTCCTGAGCCCTGAGGCTCTGTGCGCACTCATCAGGCCTACTGTCCCCATCGGTAAAGCAAATGGCTTGCTGTGGATGTGCCCAACTGCCCCTACAAGCCCCTCTGCTCTCCTCCCGCCCTCCACCGCCCAGTGCCCCAGGGGAAGGAGACGGGAGCCCTGGGTGTCAGGAGTGATGGATGCCAACGGCCAGGCAGTTGATAGATCAATCACTGCACAGCTGGGGGATCAGCGGGTCGGTGATTCATTAATCCAGCCACTAGTCAATCATTGATTAGGTCATCTGGACTGCCCATCTGGCCCTTGTGCAGCTTCTGGCCCAGTGAGCTCGATCCAGGGAAAAAGAGAAAGGCAGGAAGGATGGGCTGGACTCAGGCCGGGCAGGCAGCCTGCTCTCCCTCCCAAGTGTGTGCTCCCTGACCCTCCCACCCAGCCTGGCAGGCAGCGGAAGGGGGGCAGTGGGGCGGGCAGCCCCCAGCCACACTTTGTCCCTCTCGGCTACACAGCTGGGCTCTGACCAAGGACTGAAGACTCAAGGGCTGCCAAGGCCTGGCCCAGCCTGTCTGAGCCCAGGAAGGGGGGACTGAGGGTCTGGCAGAGAAATTAGTCCACCCAAGGTGAGCAGCTGCCAGGCTCAAGGCGGAGTGGGGTCAGCATCAGCCCTCTGCTCCGACCAGGCCTGAAGTCAGCTCCTCCAAGTTCAATGTGGAAAGCCCGCCCTTGTAGAACCTGGCTATCAGAGATGGAACAGATCTCCAGAACCACCTCGCTCCGGGAGTCCCAGACTCAGGCGTTGCACTGACCACAAAGCGTCGGAACAAATTCCGGGTCTGCCACAGGGCTGCCAATGTTTTATTTCCCTGCTCCGGCCTTAGGTACCATCTGCTGGCAGCATCTTTTCCTAACAAGGAAAAACGGAGGATACAAACTCTGAATAAATGCTAGTCCTCAGATTGTACTTAACCCCGAGACAGAATGCACTCGCTGTCCTTGTTTTTCTCCAAGCAAAGCCATGGGAAGAAACTGACCATAGTTCAGGACTGATTCGAATCACTGAGCTAATCCGCTCCAATGTTTGCAGGCCAGAAAGCAGGCTCAGCGATGACAAAGACACCTGCCCCGGGGGACCCGGCACTTTAATTCCAGGAGCAAGGACAAAAACTCAATGCTCTGTCCAGGGCCACCATGCTGAGTGGGGCCTCAGGGCAGGGGCCCCCGCTGTCACCCTCCCTGCCACAGTCCTTCACGGGTCTCTTTCTGAGTCCATTCCAAGCCCTGCCCACCTCGCCAGGGCCCCCTCCCCAGCAGGTGGCTTGTCCTCCCAAGTCACCAACAAGGTGGGTCACATGCAAGCACTCTGGCCTTCTCTGCTAACCCAGCAACTTCCTGGATCAGCAGGCGCCGTCTCTTCCCTCCCCCATTCTCCCGGGAAGCAGGTCCTTCCTTCCTCTTTCACACACACCCCCATCGCCCTCCCAACGTCTTGCGTCATTCTTCTCCGCTGACCTCCTTCCCTTCACCATGCGGACATGCTCCAGTGTCTGTACTGCCATTTAAAATTCCTTCCAAAGTCACAGAAAGAGAAATCAAGATGGTTTTTGAAATGCATGTGAAAATTCTCACGTAAACTCCATCAAAGAAATACAAAATGAGCCCTGGCTGGGGCGGCTCAGTGGGCTGGGCTTGGACCTGCAGACCAAAAGGCCTCTGGTTGGACACCCGGTTGGGGCACATGCCTGGGTTGGGGACTGCGCCCCTCATCCCGGGCGTGTGAGAGGCAACCAAGCCACGTATCTCTGACACACTGATGTTTCTCTCCCGCTCTCACTTCCTCCTTTCCCCTCTAAAGTTAAATAAAATCTCTTTTTTAAAAAAGGAATACAAAATAACATTATGAATTCTGTTTTCCACTTAGCTTACTAAGGGTCAGAAGATTGAAAAAGGCCCTCGTTACTGAGGAAGTAGGGACCTGGCGCCACAGCCCACTGCTGAGTGACAAACAGGCATAAAGGTACGTCTGGAGGGCAACCTGACGATCTCTCTAAACCAAAAGCACACAGAGCTGTGTGTCAGAACTTTCATGGCGCGTCACCCATCACCGCCCTGAACTGGAAACAGCCCTGACGACGGCTTGCGGTGCAGAGCGGGCCAGTGTAGCCACCAGAGTGAATGAATCCCAGCGGAAGCGCAACAATGTGGCAGCCCCGCAGGAGAAGCTGTATGCCAGCCACTCTCTGTGTACACGTTTCAACCCACGCGAAAGGTAGGAGGACTTCCGTGGGAGGGCATCATGGAGGGAGCCCCTGGGTTTGGCCAACGCTGTTTCTTGATCTGGGGGGCTGGTCACTCGGCAATCCCAGCAACCCCAACTCTAGGAAGTGACCTGTGCTTATCCTCACATGCAGAGAAACACGTGTGGGCTCGATGTCCTGCAAGGTGGAAACAGCCAAGGCCTGGGGATGTGAGCAGGAGTGGCTGGATAAATTATGACCCGTCCGCGCATCCACGTAGTGGAATGCTATTTAACCATTACCAAGCACGAGGCTGATTTTTGCCTACTGATAGGTGACAGCCACCAAGCTGGTACATACAAAGTCAGTGAGAAAAGCTCAGAAGGCGCACAGAACACTGTCCTGTGTCATGGTGCATTTGCAGACACGGAGACTCTCTCTGGAAGGACACACAACGAGAAAGTGGTGGCAGTCTAGCTGGTGGCATGTACTTCACATAGGAGACAGTGTGCGTCTGTGCCAGCCTGCCTGCTGGTCCTCGCTTGGACTGCGGGGCTGTGGCACCTGGTGCTGCCGAGGGCCTCAGGAATGCCTCTGTGAATAACCCACCACTGCATTTAGTTTAGAAACCTGTCAATACCTCTCTGACTACAGGCAGGACCAGAAGTCGGGGTCTGGCAGCAACCACAGCCTGTCATGCGTGCGTGTGTGCATGCGTGCGTAGAAAAGCTTCATAGAAAAGTGGTTTCTGGGTAGACATGGGGGAGAATGGAGGAGGGACCGGCATGAGTGAAGACCTGTCTGTCTATCTGTCTGGCACATGGGCTAGACATGAAAAGAACAGAGCTTTGTGCCTGAAGAGCCCTGAGCCAGCCTTCGGCCCAAGTTTCCGGGTATTGCTGCCTAAGTGAGAGAAGCATGGGCGTCAGACTCCCGGGGAGCTGCTGCCACTTCTGACTCCACAAAAACAAGACACAGCCAGCCTCGACTTGGCCACCAAGGCTGAGCTGGGATTTGGATCAAAGTCTGACTCCAAAGTCCTGAGCTTAGCATTCTGCCGAGTGGCCTGGCTGCTTGGAGGTCAGGAGAGGCTTTTCTGAGGAGCCGCACTGCAGTCTCTAAGACTCAGAGTGGAGAGAGGTCGGGGCGTTTTGCACAGAGGAAATGCCACAGGCGCAGAGTTCTGCCCTTGGAGAACAGGATGGAAACTGAGCCGGAAGCACTGCCTGAGGTCTGGAGACACAGTCGGGGATTACTGCCCGGGCAGCCAGGGTCAGTCCCGGTCCTAGTCCCAGAGTGCCTGGATTCCAATGGAGGGCTTCCATGTGAGTTTGATGCCATCTCTGAGTCCGGAAGACCATTCTGGCAGTGATGTATGGGGCAAATCGCAGGTGGTGAGGCAGGAGGTAGGCAGACCTGTTGGGAGGCAATGGCGATAATTCAGGTGAGAGAGGATGGCATTCTGGACAAAGGCAGGAGTGGGTGACAGAAGTTAATAGTTTGAGCGACATTTAGGCAGAAAGCCATTAAGCAATTGACAGAAGAAAACAAGTGCAGGAAAGGGAGGAGTCAAAGATGACCCTCGGATTTTAGGGTAACTGGAGGTGAGAAAACCAGGTTTGGATAGAACTGAGTTCAGATTCAAGGACACTGAACTGGAGGTATCTGCAGGATAGCCAAGTAGGGGGCCTAGCAGGTGCTCACCTCCACTCATTCATCCAACAGTTACTGTGTGCCTGCAGTGAGCCAGGCCCTGGGGGTTAGCAGTGAATTAAACAAGCTCCCTAACTCTGTGTGTGGTGGGGAGCCAATTCACAAATAACTAAAGAAACAAAAGTTATGGGGCATCAAAGGTGCAGTGGAGGACCTGAGCAAAGTGAAATGGCCTTTGAGGAGCGAGCTGCGGGCCAGAGCCCTGGGCCCCACCTGTTTCCTTTTCAGTTTGAGGGTAAGAAAGGCGCTTTGGGTATCTCTGCCATTCAGACCCAAGGACTTCCTCAAAGGGGGTGTGGCTTCCACTGGCTGGGAAGAGAGAGAGGGTTTCACCAGGCATGTTTCAGGTGATTACCTGTCCTGGCTGAGCCTTAACCTCACGTAAGAGTGGCCACTGCGGCCCAAAGCTGCCTGGAGGAGGGGTGTGGGAGGTAGACAACACCTGGGAACTTGGGCTCTGGGTACTTGCAGGAAGAAGCAGACACCGGCAAGTCAGCTGGAGCCAGCAGGCTCTCAAAACTGATCAGTGATGCGCTCCTAAGAGCTGACAATAGATTAATAAAAAGGAGAGAAAAAAAGCCCCACAAACGAGCACTACCCAGGCTGAGGCCTCCAGGTCCGGAAAGCTGCGGGAAGCGGCCTCTTTAAGCGTGATCACCGCCCCAGCCGGCGCGTCCAAGACCCGGGACTTCCCAGGCTACAGCATTGCCGCCCACGCCGCCCACGCCGCCTGGCCGCCGCCTGGACCTTTCCCCTACTTTCCTAGACCTCAGACCCCGCCCCTTCGCCTCTACCAAAACACGTGCCATATCCCGCCCTGGTGCATCACGCCGCGGCCAGGCTTTGATCACGCGGCTCCCCGCCGCGCCCATTGGCTCGCCGTACTTGTATCAAGCGCGGATTGGCTGTCCGTCGCCAGTCCCCGCCCCTGAGGGGCGCGGTGTATTTTGGTTTGCCTCCGAGCCCCGCCCCGGCGGCCGCGCCCTCGGCAGCTGCCCCGCCCCTCCCGCATCGCTACGGCCGCCTCAAAGTAGAGCTGAGCGGGAGGGTGGAGGCGCGTTCTGGCTGCTGGAGCTCGGATCGCCAGCTGCTTCCGCCACGCACGTGCAGCAGCTGCAGTGTTCTGAGCATCCGCCTGGTAGCCGCTTTGTTGCCTGTGAGCTACCGGCACCATGCACACGCCGGGCTCCGTAGGTTCCAGCGAGACGCGCGCGGTAAGTGGCCACCCCCCGGAGCAAGGGGCTAGGCGGGGCCGCGCCGCCTTTGCGGGGCAAGAGCGCCAAGGAGGGCGCGGGGGTGAGGCGTCTCGCCACGGTCGCACCGTTAGGTGCCGGGATAGGTTCCAGAGCTAGGAGAGGCAGCGGCCGCGTGAAGCTAGGTGGGGGCGTAGGCTCCGCAGAGCCCTACCGCAGCTTTGTCTCGCGCCCCCGCAGCGGCGCCGCCCAGCGCGCTGCGGGCGCGGGTCTATTTCCAGGCCATGACGTCACCAGGCCCTGGGAGGTGGTGACCACTGGGCGGGGAGAGGCTGGCGGGAACGCGGCTTGCGGGCGGCCGGGGCGGGGCGCTGGCGGCGGGGCCAGGTCTGTGGGAACGCGGCCTGTGCGCATGCTGGCGGGAAAGGGGCACCTGGCGGGAAAGGGGCACGTGGCGGGGCGCGCTGGGCGCCTTTCGCCCCAGCCAGGGCTCCTGCAGTCGCAGCTCGAGGGTTGCGGGGAGAACTCGGACTTGAACTGGCACCGGGTGGTCGCGTCGTGCGGGCTTGCTGCCTGCTGAGGGGCGGAGAGAGGGGTCTGGGAACTGTGCGTCCTGATCTGTTTAAGTTTAGGATCTTGGCGGCAGACCAGAGCCAGCCCCAGCCCCCATGTCTGTGACTTTACAGATTGTGCTAGGACCAGGTCGAAACTGGGTCAGAGTGACATTTGTGAAGGCAACCTCATTACCTTTGTGCTCTGCGGGGAACCTGGGCGGGACAGAAGGGTGTGATACCCAGGCACACTAAGTGGAAATGTTGATCTTTATGGACTCGAAGTGACTTTGGGAAGAGAGCACTCACTTCCGGGCCCTTCCCTGCCCGTGGAGAGCCAGTGTGATACCAGGGGAGACAGCATCTCCTAGGTTGTGGGCGATCACACAAATGCTTCCTCTTACTTCCCCCCGCCCCCCCCCCCCGCCCCCGACGGACCTGGTGGTACGAGGGAGTGACTTATGTTCCTCAGTAAAGACTGAGGAACAAGGCTTTACTTTCCTGGGGCCCCGTGGTGTTCAGCCTCCCACCCCCCAGACCCTGCTGGGTAAGCCCTGACTTGGCAGGGCTGTAGGCGCTGCTCTGGAAGTTGCCCCCAAATGCATCGGTAGGGACACTCTCCCATTGGCTCCCCAACTCGAAAGCTAGGCTCTCATCTCAACCAATCAGAGAACTTGAGTAAGGTCTGCCGCGGGCTCCTCCTGAGGTGGGCGGGGTGGCTTTGGCTTACACCCTTGGACTTAATGTCTTATTAATCGTTTACCAAAGAAGATAGACTTCATATCAATAACCTTTTTAAAAATCAGGACTTTCTAAAAAAATTTTTTTTAAATCAGGATTTCCTCTGGAAACATTTGTAGCCATGTTCAGTCATCTTCCTTCCCTCTATAGGATGACAGCCTAAAAGCAAAATTGTCATGAACCTTCTGTTGATATCTTTTCCTAGAACATAGCTTGTCGTGTGTGGAGTGTTGTGTATGTGTTGTGTGTGTGACACAGGCTCCTGATAGGCATGTCCCCTGGACTGAGAAGCTGTTATGTCACCTGTAGGTTGACATCGTGGACATATGTGAGTCCATCCTGGAGAGGAAGTGGCATGACAGCGAAAGGTCGGCCTGCAACATCTTGGAACAGAATGACATCGAAGCTGTCGAGGCTCTTGTCTGCATGAGCTCCTGGGGTCACAGGTCCCAGAAAGGTGACCTGTTAAGGATAAGGCCCCTCACACCTGTGTCTGACTCTGGGGATGTCACCTCCACCGTGCATGTAGAGGAAGGTACACCGGAGCTGCTAAAGGGCTTCCATTCTTTATCCACGCTGGTAAGAGGTGGGGGAGGGGTGTTTTTGTGCGGTGGCTAGTGCACCTTCAACAGGTGTGCAGAGGAACTCGAGGGTAGACTCCCTGGGATGCTGGCAGGCGTGTTCATAGCCTCCCCACGTGGACGCCCTGAGGATGCAACCTCTTTTATCTCTTGGAAACAAGTCCTTCCCATCAGTCGATCACAGCTTGCAGCCACGGGGTTAAAATGTCCAGAGGACAAAATCTGCAGGCTGATTTAAGAAAGAAAAATGTGCTCATTTCCTGGTGGAATTGCAGGGTGGGGACTAGGTTCCCTGGACGACTGCTTCCAGGATCAGGACATGTGGGTGGCAGCCGGGCCAAGCCTGTGCTTTGGCACCAGACGCCCTGAGCTAGCTGGGTGGAAATGCTGGCCTCTCTGCCTCCCTGTGGCAGCCAGCTTCTTACTTGTGTGAGTTGGCTGCAGTTAAGCACTGTGCTTTGTTTTCTCAACTTGTTACAGTTAAATTGCTGGGAGAGAGGGCTTCTCAGTTTGGAGAAGTTGCAAGCTGTCGGTTGCTAACAGAAGTGAAAATCATAATCAGATTGCCCTGGGTTGGAAGCTTGCACTGGAAGGGGAGTGTGGAAAGCCACTTGGAGAGGGATGAGAGGGACTTGTAGGCAGTAGAGAGGGTTGTAAAGCGCCGGCCTGGCCGCCAGAGCCTCTCTCAGCGCCCCTTGGCACTGGGCTCAATCACGGAGAGGCTGCAGTAAGTGGGGATTGTTGGGTGCAGTACAAAGAGGCTTGGTTTAGGCAGACCAGTGGTTAGCGCGTGGCCTTTGGGGGTCCTTTCAGTAGGTGTACCTGGTCTCATCTAGTAGGCACTGGCTAGGCGTGTGTTATATGATTTGTTTCTCTTTTGCAGTCCTAATGCTTAAAATGCGTATTGCAGTAACTGCAGCCTGCAGCCCCAGCCGCAGGAAAAGACTAGAAAGTAAATGCCTTGTGCAGCCTTGCAGTCCTCTGCTGTTGCAAGCAGGCTTTTAGACCAGGTTTTTCTAGATACTTCTTTTTAAAGGCATTATGGGGCAGCGCTATCCAAGTACGCACCTTTGAAAATCGAACCGAGACAACCTTTTCACCCATTGCTCTTTTTTTTCAAGTGTATGACTCCTCCTCATAGCCCTGATCTCATGGAGCCATCGACGGGGACAGTCATTCCTTCTCAAGTCACCGATCCCAGAGCACACGTGGTCATGGCCACCTCTGCAGCCTGTGCTGGGGCAGCCAGCTTGCCGAACAGGAGGGATAAGAGCCTGCCTGGTGCAAACTCAGAGCTGGGGCAGCCAGCCCCTAGTACTCCCTGCAGGGCTGTGGCGACCACGGTGCCCCCTGCTGCCCCCCACGTTCCTGCCATCCAGATGCCAACACACGGACTTTCCAATAACAGCGGAGGAGACGCACAGTATCTGGGACATACTGAAGCTTTGCAGGGCACTCACCTCAAAGACAGTTTACTCAGTGTGAGCTCAGTGTCCTGTCCACCTTGTTTGAATAAGTCTGGCGACCTCATCCCCCCTCACAAAGGCCAGCAGGCAGGCTGGCCAGTTGCAGTTCAAACCTGCTTACCAAAGATTCATGAAAACGACTTGCCAGGGAAAGCCACCCCTCTGATTTCTACCCCCGTCCTCTGCCAAATGATTCCCGTGACTGGACAAAGTGGTATGTTACCAGCGTTTCTGAAGCCACCTCCCCAAGCACCTGCCGGGTCTGTCCCCCCTGTCCTGCCCCACGCTGCTCCAGGGCCCCAGCCCGTGGTCATGGGACAGTCTGTGCCTCCGGGGGCCGTGATGCTGGTCCTGCCCCAGGGGGCGCTCCCCCAGCCCGCACCTGGCTCCCCAGCTGGGGTCATGGCCGCTGGCAATGCCAGGTTGTTGCCTCTCGCCCCTGCCCCCGTGTTCATCACCTCCAGCCACAGCTGTGCCCCTCAGGTGGACTTTTTCCGAAGGAGGAACTATGTTTGCAATTTTCCAGGCTGTCGGAAAACCTACTTCAAAAGTTCGCACCTCAAGGCTCATCTCCGTACTCACACGGGTAAGCACCGAGGCAGGTGGGGCCCTGGGAGGCTCACCTTGAACCTTCTCTGAGTGGGAGGGAAGCGTGAGACCCGCTGAGCGGGTGGTTCTGAGAAGCCTTGGAGGGGCTGACGTCAGCACAGCCTCCAGCGGTTTCTCGGGAGCGAGTGTGGGGCCTTTTCTCCTCACACGGCAGTGGACACCTGTTCACATTTCAGACAACCGCACGCCGTTCAGTAAATCCCAGCATGACTCAGATTTACTGTGGGTCAAGGTCTCTGAAGTGCGGGAAAGTTTGAATTCTAGAATATTTGAAATTCAATGGACTAATAACTATGAAAACTTAAGTGATGTCTTTATTGTCCCATTGCTGTGCTTGGTAGACTTTTCTCTCGTCTGTCCATTAGGGTAGCCACTAGCCACACGCACTTGAGAGGGGGACTGTGTGACGAAGGCACCGCATGTCACGTTTTCACCAAGCTGACACTGCCCCATTGCGTGAGCGTTGGGTTGAGGGTGGCCTGGCAGAGCTGCAGCTGTAGCCGATGCGGGCCGCACCGAGGGGTTCTGTGGTTCGCTCCCGATTTGAGGCCGTTCCGTTCTACAGGGTCCTGTCGCCTTTCAGGGTTCGCACGGACACACACACAAGCACGTAACAGGCCCCAGGTTCTGCAGTGGAGCTCTGTCCCGTAAGCTCTCTCGGTCACACAGTCCCTCCGCCAGGGCATCCGCTGTGGCCCAGGGGCCCAGTGTGCTGTGGGATGCAGGGTCAGGGGGGCTGAACTAGGGGGGCTCAGTTGGGTGGTTTCTCACTAGCACCTGGGTGTGGTAAGGGGGGCACAGCTCTGTTTGCAGCGGGCAGGTGTGACGAAGGGCCTCGGCTCTCCTCCGACCCCCAGAGGGGGCTCTGCTGCAGGTCAAGGCGCCACACCTGGCCTCAGGCACTGGGCTCTACCTTTACTTCTGTCTCCAGCTCCGCACGTCTGCCCTCCGCCCCTGGTGGGAACCCCGCTAAGGGCCTTCCCACCGTCTCCGCTCACACGTGCTTCCTGATCACGCCTTCTGGGACCCTAGTGGTGTGCTCTACTTCCTGCCACTTTTTTCTTTGATTTTTAGTTTCCCATTTTTAGTGGTCTGACTGGATATAAACTCGGGTCTGTGTAACTCAAGAGCTCAACACTGGTAAGTGGCAATTGGTCACCGGTGCCCAGGGTGGCTGTCGCGGCTCATCCGATGGCGGGGAGCGCCTCTGAAGGGCTTGCTGCCTGGGGGAGCTCTGTGCACTGAGCCCTCCGACCCTGTCCACACCCGGCGCCCACAGTCGGGGTGGCAGTGGGGAGAGGTGCCCTGCTCAGCCTGCTACCTGGGCGGAGGTGCTGACGGGCTGGCGCAAAAGCAGGTGATCAGAGCAGGCTACCTTCAGGCTCCCCAAAACACTGCCTTTAAATAGCCATGAAGGGTCTGAAGAATCCGCTCCCTGTGCTATTTTATAAATAATTGGAGTTTTCGTAAGAAATAGAAACTTTGAGTAATTTTACCTTAAATGAGGTAGTTTTTTTATGTTTCTAGAAACCTGAAATTTTTTTGACTAAGGTGGAGCAAGCAAAAGCTGTATTTTTGACATGTTAAAAACAGGGCACTTTATACCATATATCCCATGCCAGCGGGCAGTTCATCACCTGGCTGTGCTGGGGGGGCGCCCGCGGTGGTGGCGGGTTCTGGGGAGCAGGTGCACATCCCGATGCTGCAGCACGGGTCTCTGAAACCCACAAAGCTTACGCCCTTTTTCTTAGAATGGCTTTGTAAAGAGCATTGCGATGCTGAATTTTGCAGTCAGTTCAGTTTTGAAAAACATCAAGACTTAGTCGGTATCTCTTCGACACACATTCATTCAAAACCGTTCATTTGCCGCCTGCTGTAAGAAATGCTGTGCTTGGCGAAGCTGCAGGAGGGTGGGTGGCCTAGACAGGCAGTGCGAGGTCACGGGGACAAGTGTGTGACTGGCACTCCCTGGCGTCGGTGGGAAGAGAGCCGCCGTGACCTGCAGGCAGGGGCTCCTGGCTCACCTGCCAGGTGCGGTGACCAACGAATTGGAAGATGGAGTTAACGATTCCAAGGAGCCTTACAGGTCCTGGCAGGGATGTTTTTAGATGTGCAGCTTCTTGAGAAAGTCATAATTAGTATTTTCAAGAATCTTCCCCCACTGCAAAGTTTATTTAAAGGTGTATTTGTCTTTTGAAAGATAAATATTACATCTTAGGTCTTATCACATAATGTTATGTATTGGGTGTGGCAGGACAAACGGATCTCGGAGGATCTCTTGACTTCTGAATGCCTTGATACCAGAGTAACAGGGCACTACTTCTGTCTTCGACTTTGGTGACAGAAATTGAAGATGGTGCGGAGTAGCCTGTCCAGCAGGAGCCGAGCGTTTACGTTTTCTTTACTGTGCGTTTTCTCACCATCAGGAGAGAAGCCTTTCAGCTGCAGCTGGGACGGCTGTGACAGGAAATTCGCCCGTTCAGACGAACTGTCACGACACCGCAGGACGCACACCGGGGAGAAGAAGTTCGTGTGCCCGGTGTGCGAGCGGCGCTTCATGCGCAGCGACCACCTGACCAAGCACGCCCGGCGCCACATGGCCACCAAGAAGACCCCCAGCTAGCCGGCGGGGGAGCCTCTGCTTGAAGGTCGGCCGGAGTCACCCGTGGGAATCTCAGAGACTCTTTTTCAGGAAAGGACCATGGTTTTCTCTCCCGAAGTCATTGTCTGGGGTCTGGGGAGGAGCAGGGGCTGGTTCTGGTGGAAGCATGGGGGCTGCGCAAGTTCGTTTGGGGTCCTGCTCCGAGGCTTTTATAGTTCAAACTGAAGGCAGTTCGACAGTCTAGGTCACCAGCATTCACCCAAGCATTTCGGCAATAAATTTCACAGAACCCGGGTTTTTACTGCCTTTCTAGTCACGTTTTGTAGAAATGAGACAGGGTATATAACTTTATACTGTTTTCTATGAAAATATTTATTTTACTGGTACTCCACCAATTTCTAGATAGATGGTTTTACGGTCTTCTTTTCAATGTTTAATATCATTTTTATAGTAACCCTACTTTGTAGTAACTGTGGTACATCATTCAGCCAAAAAAAAAAAAAATCAGGTTTGTAATCAGGCCTTTCAGATCTCAGAATTTTTAGAATCGGCACTGGTGGGGTGTGGGGGGACTTGGCAGTCAGCGTCCCTGCAACACTTTCGAGGGGTGCTCCGGGCAGCCGTGCCTCTGCAGCCCCAGCCGAGGAATTCACATTCTGGTGCAGAACTGGCCGCCTGTGTCCGTGGTGTGACTCGCGGAGGAGACACCCAGAGGGCGACGTAAGAACGCTGGACAGGTAGCCCCGCCGTGAGCAGGGCGCCTCTGCAGGCCCTGAGTGACTGTGCTCCGCGGAGAGCAGCCTGCCTGCCGGTTTCCTGTTTGTACCTCAGCCACCAAAAATAGGGGTGACGACAGCACACCAGCCCCACTGCTTTGTCAATTGTCAGTTGACTTCTTGTCCTGTGGCCTTCTCCAGTGTTTTGTGGGTGGGGCAGCTCCTCAGAGAAAAAGGAAGCAGCCCATTGGTCTGGGGACTTCCCACCCAAGCCCAGCTTTGCCCCCGGAGGGAGTGCAGATTATGCCGAACAGCAGAAGTACCGCCCAGCAGCCCTTCTGTTCCTGTTGTTTGAAGATCACGATCAAACAAAAATCACCGGAAGGGGGGTGTTTTGCAGTCGTGACAGAAAACAGAAGGTGGGCCCCACTTGGAAGCTGGGTGAGCACAGGTGCCATTTCTGCCGCGGCCGTGCCACCCCACTGGCTGGAGCCACCAGGGCTGCCGTGTCAGGTGGCACCGCGAACCCAGGCCCCAGAATGCATGGCAGGAACACGGGCGGTTCTCTGTGCCACGTGTGTGGAGGTTTTCTCTTGGCCTCGTGAGTTCTGGCTTCCGCCCTTATTAAAATGACGGCAGGGTGAATTGTCATCGGGTTCTGCGTCCAGGTCTCAGGCCTGGCCTCACCTGGTCATTCACTGGGCGTTAGCTGATACCCACCAAGTGGCCCTTCAGTAAAAACTGGTACCCGACATGCAGGTCTCCGAGTGCTGGCTGTGTGTGCAGGAGGCTGCCGCCTGCTGTGGGCCCTGCCTTGGTTTAGCATCCCTCCTGGTCGAGACCAAATACAAGGGGATTACAAATTGGTGTGCAAGAGAACAGTCACTGGAGGCGTGTAGCTCATGCTTCCTCGCCACCCTGTCCTGTCTCCCACTCGGGTTGTGGAGCGGCATAAACATTTCCGTGTGCATGATGTTACACTGGGATGTTTTTCTTCATCACACAGAATAATGGTGGTCCTCCGAACGTGGTGTACAAGTACAAGGCCTTTGAGTGCTTGCTGCTCACCCTGAATTTCATTGTCTGAGTGGCATTGTGAAGAATACATGTGTTAAAAATGGTTTTTGTGTACACTTCCATTTCCTGATTAGATTTAGAAATGCCTTCAGTAAACAAACTTTTGTGGGTTTTTTTGTCTTCTGTGTGCCCACCGAGAGATGGTAAGTCGGGAACCAGTTTTGTCTGGAGAATTCCGCCCCGAGAACCAGAGCCCCGTGGCTCGTTCTGCGCAGATACCATTGGCGGGCGGCCCTGGGGGCCGTCAGGGCAGTGCGCGGGCCGCAGGCTTCCCAGTGCACTTGACTTCCTGAGCAGTCTTCTTGGTTCTTGTTGACTTTGAGCCTTTTCAATAGTTTCAGCGATAAAATGCAAACTGTTTTGGAATCACGTTTTGTGTAACAGACTTTGACTTCTTATTCAAATGGATATGTGTGATGTAAGTTTTTTCTTTGATTCACATAAAACGTCTCTGATTTGCAAACCAACTTGTGTCCTGTGTAGTCTGCGCCACAGGATGCCCAGGGGCTTCTCCGAAAGTAGCCCACGAGATCCCCGGAAGGCTGGCCCAGCCTCACCCTCCTCCTCTGTTTTCTGGGTCTGCTCTGCTCCCAGGGTGCCCTTTCAGTTCTGGGGAAGGTTGATCGAAACATAGGAAGAGGCAGCTTCTGTACTGGCCGCTCTGATGCTGGGTCCAGCCCCAGCAGAGTAGGGCTGTGGGTGCTGGGGACCCGTGTCCCTGCTCCTCGAGCTCTTCCTGTGCCGAGGGGCGGGATGGGAGGAGGCCCCTTGCCCTGTGCCCTCTGCCCCCAGCCCAGGCTCCTCTCCTGCTCTTAAGTTTGCTTATGGATTTAAGAGAGAAACATCCACTGGCTGCCTCCCATGTGCACCCTGACCAGAGATCAAACCTGCAACCTAGGTGTGTGCCCTGATGGGGAGTTGAACCCACAACCTTTTGGTGCACGGACAATGCTCCAATCCACTGAGCCACCCGGCCAGGGCAACCTTACCGTCTTAAAAAGAACAGCAAGTCCAGGTGGAAAGGCTTAGAGTCACCCTGGCTGCCTCGCTTGCCATCCACTCAATCTGTTGACACTGCCTTCCAAAGCCGCCCGTCCTGGGGTGTGGTAGAAGTATCTGTACGTTGATTCCTGGGTCACACTGCTCTTGACCCCGTCCGTGTGTGTGAGTGCGGGGGGAAGTGAGTGATCATGTGCACACGCGCGTGTGAGCAGGTGGGGAGGGGCAGTAGGTGATTACAATGGACTCCGCACCCAGCCATCCACCTGGAGGACTTTCCAGCTCCCACCCTCATCCCTTTGCTTCTGGGTGACGGCCACAACGTTGTTACTCAGCTGGTGACTTTGTGCCTGTCGTCTTCCGTCTGTCGTCACCAAAGGTCTACTTTCTAGCGCTAATACCACTGTTCCTTTGCTTTCAACCCACCTCTTTGTTCAGGGACTTTTGAGATGAGGAACTTGAGACATTTTAACAGCTGGGCCCCGTCCTGGGTGGAAGCCCAGGCACCAGGGACTCTTTACCCCGAGGAGAGAGACGCGCTCGGTCCCCTCTGAGTCGGGGGCTCACTCCTGAAGGCCTCTCCCCACTGCCCTCGAGGCCTGGTGCGCCCCAGGACTGCCCTGGCCGGCCCTGAAGTGGACGTCCTCTCTCCGGCAGGCTCTTGCTGAGCTCAGCGGACAAACGTGCTGGAGGTGGGGGCTACGGAAGAGACAAGATGCCACAAGCCACGTGCTGGGAGGAGGCACCCACACCAAACGAGAGGATGACACAAAGCAGCGGCAGCCGAGGGCACGAGCTCCCGCCTCGGCTCTCACCCAGCTCTGCAGGCGGCTTCTGGGGCGCCTTCCTGGGGCCCGCTGCTCTGGACTCCTCCCCCCCGCAGGTTCTGACCGCTGCTGAGAACTTGCCATGTGTTATCGAACGTTATTGCAAGTCTAATCCCCCTGCTCAAATGTAGGGTCCCCATGACGGGTTGTATCACAGCTACCCCCACCCACCCGTCCACACATCCGTCCATCCATCCACCCATTGAACCAAACTGTTTTCCTTATTTATAAAACAAGGACTATGGAGATGACTGCTGTCAGGTGCCACCTCAGTTTCCAGCCCGGAGGGCGCACACAGTGGGGCAGGACAGGGCTGGCTCTGGGACTTGGGGTGCACTGGCCCAGGGCCCCATGCCTGCCCTCCTGGCTCAGGGTATGAGTCTGGGGGCAGGGCTTCTGCCTGTGGGAATTAAGAGAACAATGACATGCGGTGCCCAGGCGGTGTTGCTGAGGGACACCCCTACCAAAACACCACCAAGAGGAGCTCAGTTATGGCCACACACACACAGCCCTGAGCCCCTAAAGACCCTGGGATCCCGGCCTTGGCGGCTGCTGGGGCCCTAGAAGCCACAGAGCTCACTGGCAGGCCTGGCTGCAAGGGGGTACAATTGAGTGAGCATCCGCTCCCTGGACCGGTGACCAGAATTCATGGAAATACCTTTGCTATAGAGACCACCAGAAAAATGCAGAATTCCTGCTAGCAAGTGGGGTGGGGCTTGAAGCCAGGGGTCTTCATCCATACTCTATGGGGGTCCCTGAGGAGAGTTGTGCTTCTTGGGAGACTGGACCCCACACCCCAGGCCCAGCAAGCCTCCTGTGGCACAGACTAGCTCCCCTGCCTAAGGTGGGGGGGCCCAATAGTTCCCAACTCCCCACAGCCAGGCCCCCACCTCTTACTTATATGGGCCTTGCAGTGACAAGAGCGCCCAGCCAGCTGCCGTCATGCCGGCCTCACCGTGGGCGAGGCTGTAGGAGGAAAAGGTCTACGAGCCTGCCCTCTGAACACATGGAGAAGCTGAGACCCCGCGATCACACGCAGGAGAGTGAGGCTGAGGTGGGAGTCCCAGCTCCCTGCCCCCCCCACAGCCACCTCCTCCGCCCCCGCAGAGCAGCCTCTGGGGGTGTGAGAGGGGCCTGCAGGGGGCAGGCAGCACCCTCATCCCTGCTTCCCCTGGTCTCTCACCTCCAGGCCCCGCCCAGTACAGAGCCCGGGGTGGTGCGAGCCCCTTTCAAGTCCTTGTTGTGTGAGTTTGTCAAAAAAGAATGTTTCCATAAACTGTGCTTCACTAACGCAAGGTGCTACTAAGTTCTGATCATTTTTATTTTTCACCCAAATCCTTTCCCACCCGCTGAGTGGGAAGGTCAGCCCCTCCCCCGAAGTTTCTCCCCTTCCTACAAGTTGTCTGAAACCTCTCAGGGCTTATTTGGGCCAAGTGAGAGTTTTTACAACTGCCACTCCCCGGGGAGAGAGCGTGAGGTCCCGGCTGACATTCTTGCGGCTAAGTGACACTACTGCTGACAGCTTCCCTGGGCCCCTGACCTTGGAGGAGCCTGGATCCTGGACAGACAGGTCTGTACCATCACTGCCACACGAAACCCTGTGCTCCCCGGGTCTCTGGTGTGGCCACACCCCCGGACTAGCTCCACGGGGCGTCCACCACTCCCTTCAGTGTCATTTCCTCTCTGGTCCACAGCCCACAGAACAGGTGGCCTCTCCTTCCCAACTCTGGACACTGAGAGGTTTCATGGCTCTGGGCAGTCGAACCCCACACGCCTGTCAAGATCAGATTTGTCCCTGGTATGTGAACGGCACCACGTCTCATTGTACGGTGCTTCTCCCTGCCCAGGGCACCGACCTTCGAGACCCCAGCTGGGAATTAGCCTTTCGACAAGAGCCACGGAGGCTTTCTCCTGGCTCATTAAAGCGGACGAAGAGCCCCACCCCACACCCACACAAGTGAGACCAGGGGTGGCCTTTACCTTCTCCAGGTGAGCACACGTCTAGGCTGTGCCCGTGCCGCCAGAGCGGCCTGTCCTCACTGGTGTGCACCAAGTGTCGCTCCGCACAAGCCCGGCACCCGGCACCCAGCACGGGCCAGGTGCAGGGCAGCAGGGGAGGAGAGGGCTCTGGAAACTCCCCAGGGGTGCACACAGGGGTCTCAGCACAGCCAGGGACGAGGGGCACAGAGGCTTTGGAAGTTCAGAAGGAGGCGGCTTAGAAAAGCTCATCTCTCCGTGAGGAGCAGGGCGCTGGAGCTGGGCCAGGAGGACGGGCCTGAGGACAAGAAGGCAGCATCGGTGGCTCTGCCCCGTCCCCGAGGGAGCCGACGCAGCGTGTCTCAGAGCTGGGGTGGAGCGTGTTTCCGAAACTCAGGAACTCGCACACACGGAGACCAGAGACACACGTGTGGTGCTTCGATGGCAGACAGTAACGTGGGTTGTCACCAGTTTTGACTTTGAGATGTTTTCTTCTTGCCTCTGCTCCAGCCACGCTCCTCCCCGCCCATGAGCAGATTCCACACTCGGCTCCAGAGTGGAAAACTCAGCTGCACCACCGAGGAGCGCCCGGCCCACGGTGGGGCTCTGCGTGGTCCCTGCGTGTGCAGCCCCCCGGGGCCACCCCCAGACCAGCGCCCTCATCTCACCCGCACGGAACTGGGGGGTGGGTGCCCTGGGCTTCGTCTGGCCGGGTGCTGTCCAGAAGGCAATTTTAGGGAACAATGATAATGAACAAAGTGGCGAGAGGCAACTGCTGTGCCTTCTCAGCTGGGAAAACAGGGTCGGGGCTGCGACTGGGAGGACGTCCGCTCTTGTTCTCACTGAGGGTTTCATGAGTTTTCCACTGGACGATGCAGAGACATCGTCCTTCTCTTGGAAAACCAGCTGGACACGTTCCGTTTGAACAAAATAATGGGAAATTATAAACATTTTTATCATTAAATTCAAGGCCTGCTCTGTCTGGCTGTGAGAAATAAAATGTTAACTTCTTTTTAAGAGAAGCATTTGTATTACTAGAATAGTAATGTCTTTAATCGTTCCACAAGGAGGGAGGGTTTGGGTTTGGGTAGGAAGCAGCTCTCGTTTTGGGGGGCCCCTGAGCCGCCCCTCCCGGGGCTCCATGGCTCCGTCCTGACTGTAGGGGAAGCCCCCCCAGCGGCGGGGCATCTGATCAAAGGCACTCTGGTCCAACGAGGGAAGTTCCTGGAAACCCTGTGACGGCAGCAGGCCTGTGGGTCTGGGGCTGGTGCCCAGGGGCCCTTGCCCGTTTTGGAGATGCTCTCGCACTTTGCAGGCGACGCGGGGAGGCTGTCGTGTTGGTGGCAAACGCAAGACAAGCTGGGACGTGTTCTGGCTTCGGCAAACACGGCTGTGGCCTCCGTGGGCCAATACCCTCCCTGGCTGCTCCGGAGGGGCTTCTCCCAACCCCTGGACCCCTCCTCACCCTGCACTGCCCAGAGCAGCCACACCTGGGCCCCCACAGAAGGCCCGGCTCCCGGTTTGCCCTCGGCCTCCTGATGAGCCGGTGCCCTGAGCCGGTCATCAGCCGGGACCGCTCTCAGGCCCCTCTGTCTTGCCTCTGTGACTGTCTGCCTTCTCGGGCATTGGACAGGTGAGCGGGGGGTTGGGGGGGTGGGGGACCCCTGAAGGGCCTTCTGGGTGGGGGAGACGAGCGCCCTTGGCGGGGGAGCAGTTCTCTGCCAACTCGGTGGAAATACAAGTATAAAAGGGAGCCTGGGACCGAGTGATCCCAGGTCCTCGGAGCAGGGCAGAGCCTCCAGGACTCATCTGCCAGAGAGGGAAACTGAGGCCCAGAGAGGGAGAGTGACTGCTAACGAGTGTGAGTGGAGGGTCAGGGCCAGCCCAGCGCCATCCCCGGGGAGCCAGGTGGCTGGGGCCCCGGGCGGCCTCCAGCCCAGGCAGCAGTCTGGAGCCGTGCCCTGTCCTTGCAGCTCAGCTGCGGCTGGGAGGCAGCCTCGTGGGCCTTGCCTGGGAGCTGGTCAGAAATGCAGCCCCGGGCCCCTGCAGACCCACAGCATCAGAGCCTGCATTTGGGTAACGTCTCCAGGAGGTTCACCTGTGGCACTCAGGGCGGCCCCCTCCAGCTGGGCCAGACCCACCTCCTGGCCCACCCTGGTCGTAGGGTCCGCCTGAAGCGCTGTGAGAGGCCCCAAGGCACCGGGCCTAAGCCCCAGTCTGCTCAGGGGCCTCCCCCAGCCCAGGTGGAGAGTGGGGGGCGGGGAAGGGGGAGCGTTCGGGCTCCAGCAGAACCTCATAGACAGGCCCTCCTGAGGCCGAGGGGAGGCCAGGTGTCAGGGGTCTCTGGCCTGACAAAGACCTGCACCTCTTTCTGGCCTGGGTCTGCACAGCTGACCCCTCTGGCCAGCAGCTGGCCGCGGTCAGGACTGGCTGAGTGCGGGCTGGAGAAGGCGGGTGGGCAGGATCTGTGAGAGGCTGTGCCGTGGCAGCAGCTCAGGTCCAGCCGGGCGGCGTGGGGGGTGCTGGACGCCCGGCCAGGCGGGTCAGCGGCCGTACTCCTGCTCGATGCTGGCCATCAGCTCCTCCTCGGAGCCGTCGTATAGGACGGCCGACTGCCTCTCTGGACTCCTGTGGGTGCCGCCAGGGGCCCTACCAGCCAGAAACACAGACAGGGTCTCAGGAGGCAAGATGTCACCTTCGAACTCAGGGTCTCTGCTGGACAGCCGCCAGGCCCTTTGCAGAATTCCGATCACGCTCTGCCCTGGGGACAGCTTCCTGGTCTCCGGCCTGAGCAGGCCTCATTCCTGTCCTCGGGCTTCATTCCGGCCTTATCTGCCCAGGAGTGGCCTGCTGGGAAGGGCGAGCGCCCCGAGGCAGGGAGGGCCCAGTTCAAATCCCGGCCCCACCACGTACTAGCTTGGGGACAATTCTTTCTCTGAAAAGGAGCTGAAAGTATTCTCAAGTGCCTTCGGGGACAGTAGTGAGACCATGTATGGACAACAGGGGATACGGACTCCCCCTCAGTGAACATGAATTGTGGCGCCACAGGGTCTGCCTGGCTCCCTGCACCTGCGCCTCGGGGTGGGCAGAGTCAGAGGAGCAGCTGCTGGGCCCTGGGGACGCGATGGGGCCTCTCCAAAGGCCGACCTGAAGGTGACACAGGGCGCTGAATGCCCTGGTCAGGCACCAGGAAGCACTGTGCAGAAAGTTTCCCGAAAAGCCCCTGGGACGGAGGCAGGGCCCCGTGAATGTTACTGCCTAGTCCTCCTGCCCTGACCGCCGCCCCCCTCAGCCTGGGGGCTCCCTGAGGGTGGCCATGGGGGCAGAATTCAGAACGGCCGTGAGCCACCTGCCAGACCCTCAAGGGCAGCAGGGTCTCTTGGCGGAGTCAGGGGATCGAGCAGGAAGCCAGCTGTCCTGCAGGCTGTCCCAGGGCAACCACGCTGGGCCTAGGGACCACCCGGCAGGAATGAAAAGACCTCTCTGGGGATAAATGACTTCCCACACTCACACAGGGACCTGGCCTGCACGGCGGAGCCGGGGGTTGTCTGCGTTAACGGGTGAGAACCAGGACTCGCAGCTGTGTTGAGTCAGGCTGCCGACCTTGGCTGCCGACCTGGCTGCCGGTGCGAGGGGTCAGAGCCCACCCGAGGAAACGCTCTTACTGCGTCACCCTCTACTGTCGCAGTGGTGTCCCAGAGCCCCAGCCTTCTCCTCCTTGACAGCAATGGCCGGGGTTTTGGTGCGGCAGGTGAGGCCGGCCCTCACCTTTCAATGTCCCTCCGTCCATTCCCTCCCACACACCCAGCGCTAACCGCCACCAGCTGCGTGCAGCCCAGCTTCCTCGGTCCCGTCCCCCACCCCCATCCCCGCAGGAGAGCTCCCTCCCTCCGCTCTCCCCCAGGACCACAACTCCTAAGGGTCCCCTAGACCATTTTGACACCAGGTCCCCGCCCCTGGAGCCCTGGCTGCCTCCATCCCTGCTCACTGCCCTGAGCCTCTGGCCTGCCCTCCGAGCCCTCACTCATCCCAACAGGACCTTGCAAAGGTTCGCTAAGGAAGGGAATCGGCAAGGCCCTTGCCAGGACACCGTTTGGAATGGGCAGTGGAAAGAGCTGTGAGGCCAGAATTCTCGAAATTTCCCACATCCACGATTCTGAGCACCACAGTCACCAGCATCCCAGCGATGGGTGCAGGTCACTGTCCCCTCATTAGAAACGAGAAAGGCAATGTAGGGGCGGGCCTGGCGTCCAAGGTCATCCTGGAGAGCCGACCAAGCCTACTGCTGGCTGCCAGCATCCTGGAAACCCCGTGGCTCGGGGCCATGCAGGAAGCCTGGGGTCTCGGCCTGGGGTCCTCAGCTGACCCGCCCAGGGGTCTGGAATGTGTTTTCCAGATAAGGCTGTCACCGGGGCTTAGAGGGGCCATCTGTCACCCCTCTGGGCAGCAAACTCCGGGAGGCCCAGGAGGTGTCTCACTTGGAGGGAATGTGAGAGGCTGGGATCTGAGGGGTGTGACCAGGGTCGCGCCTTTTCCAGGAGGAAGGTCGAAGCTGCTGGCAGCCTTGAGGCCTCTGCACTGCCCAGGGCTGGGACCTGCCCCCAGCGGGAGAGTTGTGCATTTCAAGAGGGAGCTGCCTTTGGAAAAGAGCTGAAACCCCAGGAGAATGGGGTCCCCCCAGGGCTCTGGGAGCCAACAGAAGCGCCCAGGGCATCTGACCGGAGATGGGGTTCATGGTACTTACTCAGAGCCGCCGCTGCCCTCTGGGTGGTCTTCGGCACTCTGTTTTGGGGACACCTTGAGAAGGACAAAAGGAAGAGGCATCAAAGGTTACCGATGGCCGAGTGTCCAAATACTCTGGCGTTCTGCTGACAGACGGGCCACCGCGTTTAACCAGGACCGAATGATATTCCACTGTATTCCGCTCCGCCCTCTGTATCCATAGGTTCTGCGCCCACAGATCCAACCAACCAGGACTCAAAAATAGTAGGAAAAATACTAATAACACTGTGGCTGGCATGCACTCTGTGATTAACCCTACAATGGTTGGGTCCCTACGGACAGGACACGTACAGACTTTCTTCTTGTCACTATTCTCTGAACAACAACACAGTGTAACAACCACTTACACAGCATTTGCATTGTAATAACTACCCAGAGACCATCTAAAGTATACAGGAAGCTGTGTGTAGTTACAGGCAAACAGTACGTCATTCTAAATACAGAACTTGAGTATTTGAGGGTTTGGGGCCCACATGGGTCTTGAAACCGATCTTCTGTGGATACCGAGGGATGATGCACCACGTTTTTCTTCTTAAAATTATATTTTTCCAATTGCCATTTACGTTCAGTGTTATTTTGCGTTAGTTTCTGGTGTACAGCACAGCAGTTAGACCATCACATACCTTACCGAGTATGGTCCCGGGTATTTCCAGCGCACACCCGCCTCCAAACTTGGTTTTCGAAATATTGCTGACTACATTCCCTGAGCCGTACTTTACATCCCCGCGACCACTGGGCGACTACCAATGCGCACTTCACAATCCCTTCACCTTTTTCACCCAGTCCCCCAACCCAGCCCCAACCCTGGCAGCCCTCAGTCTGCTCTCTGCGTCTATGAGTCTGTTCATGTTTTGTTTATTTTGTTCTTTAGATTCCACACGTAAGTGAAATTGTACAGTATTTGTCTTTCTCTGACTTATTTCACTTAGCATAATACCCTGTAGTTCCACCCGTGCTGTTGCAAATAGTTAAGATTTTTGTTCTTTTTCACGGCTGAGTAATATTCCGCCATATAGAAGTACCACCACTGTTTTATCCACTTGTCTATCGGTGGGCACTTGGGCTGCTTCCAGAGCTTGGCCATTGTAAATAATGCTGCAGTGAACACAGCGGTGCATATATTCTTTCACATCTGTGTTTCGGGTTTCTGTGGATATATACCCAGGAATGGAATCTCTGAGTCATAAAGCAGTTCCATGTTTAGTTTTTTGAGGAACCTCCACACTGCTTTCCACGGTGGTTGCACCCACCTGCCCTCCCTCCAGCAGTTACCAGGGCTTCCTCTTCTCCACGTCCGCACCAGCACCGGTCAGCTGCCTCACTGATGATGGCCATTCTGATCGGTGTGAGGTGACAGAGACTGTGACTGCACCCTATTTCCTTTACCCATTTCCTTTACCTGTTTTGTTTACCAGTCCATCAGATGGACACTTGGGTTGCTTCCGCCATAGGCGTTGTGATGGGGGCGCCTATGACGCAGGGCACACAGAGCCCCTGGGAGACCTGCTTTGGTCCCCTGGGGTCTCTCCTAGTTTGCTCCTTCCTCAGGGGCCACGGAGAAGACAATGATACTTCTCCCCAGCCACCCTTCGGCTACTTCTAATGGAGTCATCCTGCAGGAACCCCAGCTCTCTCCTGTCTGTTGCTGCTGGAACCAGCCTCTGCTGCCACCTGGCGTGGCTTTTGCTGTCATGGCCAGATTTTGTAAGGGTCGTTACAGTTACGGTTTCTCCCGCCAGGAGGGCAGTGAAAGAGCACCGGACCGGGGTCACAGGTCCGTCTGCACAGACAGTCCGGGCTCTGCCTCTCTGCACCACGCTGCCTCCTGCTAACGGGGACACACCGCCAGCCTCGCGGGGCAGGCACAACATGACATTGTCACCTCTGTGAACCGCACACCTGGAAGCTGCGTTCAAAAGGTAGGTCGTGCCCTCTCTTCAGTCGTTTCTTTGTTATGTCTGTTCCGGGTTCATGTTTCTTTCTGTGCCTGGGACTTGAATGTGTGATCCCTTCTCTCATCACTCTGTTTACACCTTGAATCGCCTCCCATGGGAAATGGGGGAGACGCCCTCCCAGAAATACCGCTCCCCGAAGCCGCCAGGGGATCGCAGATGAAAAGCAGAGACAGAGCGGCCCCTGGTGGCCGCTCCAGGTCTCGCGCAGACCCGAGTTTCCGCCACTAGCCAGCAGGCTACAGCCTGCCGGTCAGACATCTGGACTCCAGGGAGGGCCCGGCCTGGGCGGAAGCCATGGGCCAGGCTGAGCTCTGGGAGGCCTGAGGGTCTGGGCCAGGCCGGGGCATGTCGGCACTGGAGGTCCTACCGGGGCTCTGAGAACCCACACCACAGCTGGACGAGGCACAGAAAACGGGAGAAGGAATTGAGTCTGATGATCTCTTAGTCTCCTCTGACTCTCATAAAAAGGGTTTTTAATAGGAGAGTAAAATATCAAGTTAATTTTTAGAAAACCCAACTACACATCTTACTTAGCAAAATGTATTGTATCCTGCTACTTCTATTTTAAAGCATTCTCTCCTTAGCTCCCTTTTTAAGCTTTTTATTTTTTGATTTCAGAGAGAAAGAGGGAGAGAGGGAAACACCGATTTGCTATTCCACTTATTTATACACTCACTGGTTGATTCCTGCATGTGCCCTGACTGGTATTGAACCTGCAACCTTGACACCTGGGGATGATGCTCCAACTGAGCTACCTGGCCAGGGCTCTCGGAGCTCATAACAGCTTGATATGAATATACAGGGCAGGGCAAAAGCAGGTTTACAGTTGGTCTTATGGAAAATAACACGATTAATAAACAGTAACGCCAGAATTAGTGTTTCGCACACTCACAACTGTAAACTCCCACTCCCCACCCTGTGTGTGCACACGTACATACTCACACAGACAAAGCCCAGGTGTTTTGAGGGGTACAGTTTGGTAGGTTTTGACATGTAGATACGCCAGTGAACCCATCATCACAACGGAGATCCTAATCGGTTCTTCAGCTGCTCTGTGCTGCCCCCCCCCCCGCCCGCCCCTCCCACTCAAGGCAGCTGCCGGCCTGCTTTCCATTCACAGGCACACTCCAGAAGCCTGGGTAGTGGAATTGCACAGTTCGCACCCTCCCGTCTGGCTTCTTTCCCTGGGCACCAGGGTCCTGGGGCCCACCCACGTGGCCTGGGACAGTAGTTCACTACTCTGAAGACCACACACAGCAGAGAACAGGGCAATGGATCTCCGCTCCCAGGCGCGCCGGTTTCAGTCTTTGGCCCATCAGGTCAATCCTCTCACCACCAGAGGGCGCTGCCCACCGCGATTAAGGGCCTCCCAGGCAGCAAAAGCTGAGAGCAACAGCAGGACGTCCAGATGAGAGCTGCTCTATGCGGCTAAAACGTCCAAGGACTTTTTCAACAGGAGCCTCTGACCTGAGACCACCAGTCCCAGGTTCTCCACCTCCCCTCACAAGGTCTGGCCTTCAGGAAAGTGTTTCCAAAGAGACAGAAGGTCAGGGAGACCCGGAGGAGCTGAAGTGGGTGGGATTGGAGGAAAAGGACAATCAACTACACTTGTACCAAGTCTTACCACTTTATAAAGCATGTTTACATCCAGCCACGCATACTTCTTCCAAACTTCCACTCAACAGATCCTGAGTAGTTCACTGGACACCCTGGTTGTCCCCCTGACCCAGGCCTGCTCCCATGGACAGGTGCCTTGGTGCAGCTCCCAGACCTGCCGGGTGTTGGGCAGTCAGTGTGCTGGGCCCAAAGGCCTCCAGTGTGAGAAGGCAGCCCTGGTGGTGGCTAAGATTCCCTGGGTCCAGCGATCTGTGGTTCTCCAAGTGTCCAGAAATGAAAGGGGTCTGGGCATGGCTGCCAGGCAGAGTCCAGTGAGAACCTGATGCCGGCCTTGGGCTGGGGTGCCCTCCTTGTGGGTGACAGGCACCTGGTACTCGGTGCGGGCGGACCTCCATTCCATTCTGGCCAAAGCACCGAGACCCTCTGCCCCAGAGTTGGGCCAGGGAGGGTCCCAGCCTGTGTCCCATCTGCTTCGTTTCTGCACCCCCCACACTGTACCCAGTGCTGGGCAGCAGCCCCTAAGGCCTGGCATCTGGCAAGGCCCTGTGCCACTCTGCTTCCAACACCTGCGCCGCTGGTCTCCTCCAGCATGACAGCAGCAGACACCCATGTTCACCTGGGTGTTCCCAGCCACCATCGCCTTTGCCTATAGGGTCCTCTCTGCCCAAAAGCTCGTCTCCACTGGCTTGCTCGGCTGATGCCGCAGGCCCTTCCCAACTCAGGTCCACGGCTGTCCTGGCTTCTCCGGGGCTCAGCTGCTCCTCCTGTGGACTCTGCATGGACCCAGGCCACACTGGGTCCCTTTTCTGCCTGCAGACCTGCCCCCACCCCGCCACCCCCACTGGACTGTGGGCTTCTCTAGGACAAAGGTGCCTGGCACATGGCGCGGGAGCTCAGACCACACTGGAGAAGTGACAGGAAGGTTGAGTACGGTGGCCCTGTACCCTGAGCCTCTGGGACACTCAGTGATTGGGGGAACCCCATCTTCTCATCTTCTTTTTCTTTCAATCCTCACCTGGGGATATGTTTATTGATTTTTGGAGAAAGAGGAAGGGAGAGAAACATGGATCAGTTACCTCCCTAATGTGCTCCGACTGAGGATCGAACCTGCAACCTTCTGGTTGGGAGGGGGCAGGACGCTCCAACCAACAGCCCCAGGGGCCGGGCCGTTTTCCCACCGTCACATCTAAAGTTTCCAAAGCAACTGCACACTGAACACTAAAAATACTGTTTCCACGCCATCTCAGAATTCCTCCAAACCTCTCAACTGTTTATCCATGTTTAGAGTTATATAACGGCGGGCTGACGCGGCCTTGAAGGAATCCTGTTACATAATTCGGTCTGCTGAACTGCAGCTCGCTCCGGGAGGGCCAGGGGCTGGGCCGGGCCGGGCCCAAGGAGGGGGAAAGGCCTGCGCTGTCCAGGGTCGGCCAGCCCTCCCCACGCTCACTCGGCGTGTTCGGGATCCTGCTGCCGGCTGACACTCCGCTCAGGTCCGCGGCCGTCAGGCAGCGCCCGCGGTGGGCGTGCAGCAGGGGCGGCCTCCAGCTTCCTCCTCAAGCCCGGGAGCTGCGGCTAAAGATCTCGTTCGTTCAGCTCTGCGGGAGTGAAGGCTGTGCCAAACCGGAGCGCTCCTTTTACTGTTTTTCTAAAGCAGCAGGGCTGTTGTTACAAGCGTTCTGGAAGAGAGAGCAGGGGAGCCAAGAAGAGGTTCTGCGGACCCTTAAAAACAGCGAGCAGTGCTGCGCGCACCGCTTGGCCGGCGAGGCGAAGATCCCGGGGAGTGACACGCAGGGCACCCCTGAACCACTGTCTGGCTACCGGTCCCGCCGCTTAGCGCCTCCTCCACGGGTGTCCCCAGGGGCTGCCTGGGGGAGGGGCCCCGCGACACTTCGCGCCGGGGCTGGAAGGCGCCCGGGATGCTTCACACAGCGGGCAGTCACGCAGCTCCAAGAGGAAGAAAAGGCGAGCTCTGGCCAGAAGCAAGCCCGGGAGACGCATTTCTGCCAGGGGCTGGCTGTCCCCCTGCCCTTCAAGGCTGCTTCCCGCACTGTCAGCCCCAGACGGAGGCAGTTAAACCAGCACCCAGACGAGGCAGACGGGGGAAAACCTGAGCGGTGTTAGGAAGGAGGGATTGGGGGTGGACAGCGAGACGGTGGGTGACCCGCGCAGGCGGGCCCAGGGACAGCGTTGGGGACCAGAGGGGGTGGGAGGACGCACATCGCCTGCCTGGGAGGGGACAGGAAAAAGCGGTTGAGGAGGTACACTCGGGGGCGCACTCGGAGCGCGACACTCACCCGGCTCCCCGCGCCTGCGGCAGGTCGGGGCCGCGTGGGGCCCCGCGGGGCCGGCTCCCCCGGACCCCAGGCCGCGGACTCGGCCAGCAGCTGGTCCAGCAGGCGCAGGGTTTCATCCCGGCCGTCGGGGGGCGCCGCAGGGCCAGGGTCGGTGCGGGCCGCGCCCCCAGCCGCGGCCCCCACTGCCTCGGAGGCCTCCTCCTCCGGGGCAGCGGTCCCGCCCTCCGGGGTTGCCCCGCTGGGCCCCGCGGGCCGGCTGTCGGGGCCGCGCAGCCGCCTCAGGGCCCGGCTGCTCCGGCTGCTGCCGCTGCCCATGGCGCGCCGTGGCCGGCCGAGCAGGCTGGTGGCTGCGGGGCTGGGGAGCGGCCGGGGCGGGGACGCGGGAGGGGGCGCGGCTGGGTGAGCCGTGGGGGCAGCGCTGGAGTTGGGGACTCCGCGGGCGGGTGCTGACCCGGGTCGGTCGGTGGTGGGTGGAGCCCGGGTATGGGGGGCGGGGCAACTGGGTTGGGGGGCACTGGGGCGTGGCGACCCCCTCCTTTGTCTCCTTCCTGGCTCTGCGCCCACGCCCCCGCCAGGGGTCCCCTCCTCGCTGGTCCTGCCACCTGGAGGAACTGTCTGCCGGTGACCCTGCAGCCTCGCCCTGCTGGAGCTTAGAGGGACGTGGGCGACCTCACCACTGCTCCAACGTGACACTGGGGAAGGGCGGGCGGTAAAGGCACCTCCAAGTGGGATGAAGAATGAGCAGGGCCACGCATCTCTGTGACCTCCCCTTCCTCAGGTGTCTGCCCGCTCCCTCCCGTGCAGGGACAGACCTGAGACGGGACGGAGGAGGGAGGCCGACGGCCCCTCCTGCCTTCCACGCGGGGCGGGGGGGGGGCGGGCAGCCCCGGGCAGTGGGCCCCCGCGGTTTCCTGTCTGCGCCATCAGAGGTCTGGAGCGTGGATGCCAGATCCAAAATCTCACCAAGAAGTCATCACATTTGAGGGAAAAAAAAATTAAGAAAGGGAGACAGAAAACGAGTCCTATCCCCCCAGAAAGGAAACTATGAAAATCCGAGTAGGTACCAATTCTAACTCATTCCAGCTTTTGGTCGTGGGATAGTTTAAAAAGAAAAAAGAAAGAAATAAGAAAAAGGCGTCTTCCTTAAGTGAACTGACCCCAGAATCAGCGCAGGAAAGGCTCCCAAGCTGTCGAGCTCACACCCGGTGAGGTCACCGTTGGTCCCGCTGGGGTTGTACTCGAACTTGCTCACTTCCTCTCCCTTCACGGCTGACGAGCCGCACCTTCCCAAAGCTGGACAACGCAGACAGCCTGGGGTTTACACACATGTCTTGACAATTTTTGCGGAAAAGTTGTTCACATGAAATTTTGGCTAATCTTTACTAACCACACACTTGAGGTTTTGCTATTTTTATCACTTTGGGAGTAGGCATTAAAAACTTTATGTCCAAGAAAATAGAATAAACTAAAATGGACTCAAACTAAAACAGCCATTTAGTTTTACTGTTAAAACTAACAAAACTAACAATAGAGGCCGAGGGGGGATTTAGAACTCGCCTTCCTTTTTTTTTTTTTTCCTTCTTTTTCTTTTTTGGATGTGTTGTTGGAACCATCCAGATCCAGGAGCCAGGCCAAATCCATTATTTGATGCCATTTGGGTGTTCTAAGTCCGCAGATGTGTCTACTTTGGAAGCTATCGGTATAAATTTTCTCTTTAAGAAAACGAATCTCCTCCTGAAACTCTTTAAGCCTGGAGAAAAGTGTTCAGATGGAAAATTTTTTCTTGAACTAAGTTCAACTAAGTTTAATCATTTAAAGAAAAACATGCTCTTCTCCCGCCGAGTCCAGCCTCGTCGGGTGACTCACAGTTTAACTCTCTCCGCAGTGCCCCGTGCTCACCTCGCAGGGCAGCGGCTTTCTCTGACCCCCTTCCTTCCCAGCCTGTCTCCCCAGTCATGCCTTGCTCACCCCAGGGAGAGGTGTGCCAAGCCCACGTTCCTCCCACTGTGAGCGCACACTTACAATCAGCTACCTCTGGAGGCCTGGCTCCCATCAGATGTGCCGGTCCCCATCTGAGTTTATTAGGGGCTCCCCTAAGCACACAAGCCAAGCTTTCCCAGGTGATCAAGGTTGCCTAAGATCATCTTTAGAAATAAACAAGAATTTCTTTGTCCTGAAGGGATGGCAAAGCCCCAGGAGTATTGGGGCACTGAAAATAGGGTCTAATCCCTCTTAAGGAAGCACCCCGGCAACCACACCTCTCCCCCTAAGGGACTTCTTTATGCGGGGACTGTGGTGGCGGCCGGGGAGGGGGCTTGAAGGTGAGGCCCAGCTGGGAAGTAGTCCGCCTAACTCCTGGGAAATAAGAACTTGCTTGCAACGAACACATTACACTTTGGGAGAGGTCTGCGGATGCTGGCACTCAGAGCAGGAAATGTGTCCTGGGGAATGTTTTCCTTGGCAACAGGCCTGTCCTGGCACCTGGAGATGAAGGGGGCCCACCCCTTACCACAGCGGACCACCCCCATTACAGCGGACCCCAAGCCCAGCCCCCATCAAAGCTCCACTCAAGTACCTTTCTTCGGAGACTGCCCCAGATCTCCTCTCCCTGCTCAGAACATTCATAATTTCCACCATTCCTGACCCCTGCTTGGTCATAACAAGGAGAGCTATATTGTGTAGGCGCTGGTTATGATGACTATGCAGGAAGATAGTGATTATTTTTTGATGAAAAAGGAGACAGCATTTGAAACATAGGCCAGTGTGTTTCTATTTTTAATGCTTCCTCAGTAACCTGAGAGCCACAGTGCTACTGGTCATTGCTGACCAATGGGGCGAGTAGCTCAGGTGACTGCCCGGATCTGTCTGAGGTTTGCATTTGGTTTCATGGTTCCTTACCAGAGTCAACAATAGCTTTTACTAAGGGCAGTTAATGGATTACAGAACCCTTTACTCAGAAAGAGCATTACGTCCTCAGAGTTGACACAGACGTATCACGATGGGTCGGAACCCCTCTCTGACGATGTATCTGTTGGTTCTGACTCTCTGGATAACCCTGCCTAATGCATTGTCACACGACACCAACGAGTAGTAGAAGCAGCAGATTTGTTTTCCTATCTTTCTTAGAAAGTTTACACAGTCTGCTGCTCCCTGTGCCGTGCTGCCGGCCCAAGGTTCGGGGGTTTGGTCCCCTCCCAACTCTGAAGGACACCAACACAGCCGGCAGTCTTCCTGGCGAGAGGGGCCTAGAAGACCATGAGGGAGGGAGGAGTGGACCGGGACAGCAGGCGGGGAGCGCTGCCCGGGCAGGAGCCCTGTCGTCCTTCTGGCTCTGAAACTGCCGTCCAGCCCCACGAATCTGGCCTCCCAGCCCCACGAGGTGTGCCTTTCCTTTCACTCATAGTTTGATGATCAGTGTTAACATAACGAGCGGTCACAATGCCATAATGACCTCATGACACAGCAGACATGGCTTCCTTTCCTACGGGCCTAGGAATGGGGCTGGCAACCTGCAGTCAGCAAGCCGTTTTTTGTAAATGAGGTAGACGGGAACACAGCCACGCCCCATTTGTGGGTCTCTGGCTGATTTTGATGCCCTATGCAAGGGGTTAGGGGTACTCTACCCAAACACAAGATGTGGCTGTGACAAAGGCAATTTTATTTCATTGCAGCAAGTCAAGGAGAAGGGACTCACACCCCAAGCTCTGCCTTTGCAACAGTGAGGCTTAGCAGCTGCTCCTACCCTGTTTGGTCAGTTCTGTGTTGATTTCTCCTTCCCATTTGGGAGTTTTCATCCCACGGAGTTCCTGCCACCTCTTCCTGCTTATAGCTGCACCTGCAAAATACAAGGCTACATTTTAACATTTAGCAAGAAGTAACTTTTAGGACCACACAGACCTTGAGACCCTGTCCTACATGACATTTACCTAACCAAAGGCTGAGTACCCACTTCAGAGACGCTCAGTCTGTCCTGCAAAGCCTAAAATATTTGCCGTCTGGCCTCTCCAGAAAGTTTGCCCATCCCCAGTCTACTTGAAAGCTGAGTTTTATCCATTAGTCCCAGAGGATATGGTTTATTCATGAAAGAAAGGAAGTTAATATTAACCACCTACAAGTTTTAGTAACTTATTTCTGCCTTCATACCTGACTCTCTCGTTCTCACCGGTGGCCCCAGGCCAGATTGTTGAGTTCTGAAACCCAAACTAAAGAGGTTCCTGTAGACAAATCAGCCTTCCCAATTTCCAAGTTCCTTCTTTTGTATGAGACAGAAACTAGATTTGCAAGTCATGTTTATTTCTCTACTTCTACAGTTTCCTTCTTTCCTTACGGATAAAATGTTAAACGCATTTCCCTTCCCTTGTTCTTCTCTTATACACAGATAAGAGGGAAAAAGCTTTCAGCAACCAGAGTTACGAGGATGAACACTGGGAACATAGTAAAAGTTATTTTAATCTACTCGAGAGTACTTATCCAAATGTGCTTTGATTACTTAAACTGAAAGCAAACTTACAGGAAAACGAAATCATCAGAAAAGCAACTCAATCTGTTTGAACAGTACATAACCCACATAGAGTCCATGTGATTCAACTCTACAAGCAGGAGGGCTGTGTGAAATAATTAGAGAGAGATGTGAAGGAACAGGCACAAAATACAGAGGGAGAATTAACGTGAGTTAAAAACTCTGGGAAAGGTCAATAAAGGTCACAGAGCACCAGAGCTGGGCTTTGAAAGAGGACAGTCTCCAGAAGCAGACAGGAAGGTGCTGAGATGTGGCAGGTAGGGGACATTCTGTGCTAGGTGTGCCCCGGGCAAGGGAAGAAAAAGGCCCTCAGGTACTTAGCTTATTGGTACAGTAGCGGGGAAAGCACTCTCTCTCTCTCTTTTTTTTTTTATAAAGAATCCTGCAGTTTGAATGAAATAAAATCCTAAAGTAAAAAAAGGTTTCTCTGGGCCCTGGCTGGTATGGCTCAGTGGATTGAGTGCCAGCCTGCAAACCAAACGGTGGCTGGTTCGATTCCCAGTCAGGGTACATGCCTGGGCTGGGGGCGATGCCCCCTGTAGCGGCCACAAGAGATGCAACTACATAGTAATGTTTTTCTCCCTTTCTTTCTCACTCCCTTCCCCTCTCTCTCTCTAAAAGCAAACAAATAAAATAAAATCTTTTTTTTAAAAGGGTTTTGGGCTGACACCCAGGCAGCGTGCGCACCCACCAAACAGCAGGGAGCAGAGTCGGTGGTGGGAGAGGCACCGGGAAGCGCATGCTCACAGCGGGATCCGGAGAAGGAAACGTGACCTGCCCAGGTCAGGACCCGGAAGTCAGAGCTACCATTGGTGGGACGCCGCAGGGTCCCGCGCTGTGAGGTTCTGGCGGTGTTACTCTCGGCAGCTTCCTAGGGCAGTTTCTGTGGCCCCTCCTTTGACGGACAGGGCGGTGAGGCCCAGGGCGCCCAAGACCCTGGCCCTCAGCCACACAGCTGATCGGCGTGGGAGCTTCGGGCCCCCAGCAGAGCCCGTGAATGCTGACCCCTGGCGTGCTTCA